GAGGGTGAATGAAAAAGGAAATATTTAAGGTTTCTCTACTTGATAGTTTTGCTATAAGCTGGTCTTGCACAACCCCAAAGCACCAAATAGCAAATCGGGTGGCCACTCACTTAGCAGTACTGGTAGGACTCAAGGGTCCAGAACTCATCTGATAATTCCCCCCACTATGTTAAAAAAAAGTCCTTGGAAAGAGTCTTTTCTCTGGAGCAAGACATTGTAGGCCTCAGTTTCCTTATCTGTAAAATGAGGGGGTTGTGCTGGATGGCCTCTGGGGTCTCTTGCAGTGCTAGGTTTATGATCCTCTGATCCCATGTCTCTCATGCTTAGGGTATCCCCAGCTCCTCCCATTCCCTCACTATCCCAGGCAGGACTGAGATGAAAACCCAAGCCTCCTGATTTTCTGTTGCTGTAGCAACCAACATTTTTTTTTTTTGCTTTTTGGTGAGGTGATTGGGGTTAAGTGACTTGCCAGAGTCACACAGCTAGTAAGTGTCAAATGTCTGAGGTCACATTTGAACTCAGGTCCTCTTGACTCCAAGGGCAGAGCTCTCTCTATCACGCGTCTCACTGCCCCAGCAACCAATATTTGACAAAGATTTATCAAGCACCTTGCTATGCGCAAGGCACTGGGAGGGAGGCAAAGATGAATAATAAACAAAGCCTGCCTTCATGGTGCTTATAGTCTAGAAGGAAAGAGGATCAATACATACATGGTTATCAGTCAAGGCAGCATGTGGTAAGAGAGGTAGGAACAGTACATTGAGGGAATCGAATGAAAGATTGTTACCTACTGGAATGAATCAAGGAAGGCTTCCAGGAGAAGCTAGAATTTGAGCTAGGCCTTAAAGCATGGGAAGGTTTTGGATAAATTGAGTGGAGGAAGGCTCACAAGATAATAGCGTTTTGTTTTGGTTTTTTTGCTTTTCAGTGAGGCAATCAGGGTTAAGTGACTTGCCCAGGGTCACACAGCTAGTAAGTGTCAAGGGTCTGAGGTTAGATTTGAACTCAGGTCCTAGTGACTCCAAGCCCAGAGCTCTACCCCCTTTTGCCACCTAGCTGCCTCTAAGATAATAGGTTTAAAGTTGGAAGGGACCTTAGATGCCATTTGGTCCAATGTCCTCATTTTATAGATGAAGATTTGTGGCAGAGATGTTGTGACTTGTTGAAGGTCACAGTTATTAAATGGAACACCCAGGATTCAAACCCAGGACCTTTGACTGGGACACGAGAGGAAGTGAGCCTGGCTGTGCTGTGGTACAGCTGAAGGGACATGAGGGAGGCAGAGAGGTACGTGTCCCAGCTGTGGCCTGGGTGTGTGCTCCTTCACGTCGGAGATGGCCTTAGAGTGCACCACTGAGGGCAGAGAAGGAGGCCCAGGGCGGGCTGAGGTCTGGAGCGTCCAGCTTCTAACCCGGCTCCGTGGGCGTGCGGATAAAAATAAGATGGGATGTCAGGATCTCCTGTCTCCAGGAAGTCAGGATGAGCGATGGGTATCAGGGGACCAGCTCAGTAGAGGAGGAGGGGAGGCCACAAGCAGAGGGACTCGGACAAACATGTTTGTTTATTCTTCTCCCTGGCGCTGAAATCCCTGAGGCTGCTCTCTCTCTCTCTAGTTCCAGTGGAAGGGAAACGTCTCTGTCGGACCTGCAGCAACTCAAAGCTTCTCAGCTCCCTTTCCCCTCTTTCCCCCTGACACTCTGCGTGCTCCAATTGGATCTTAGGCAGCCATTACTCAGGAGGTGCTAGGAGCTATACTCCACCCTGGTCAACCCACATCTGGAGTAGAGCTTTCTGCCCTGGGTGTCATGTCTTGGAATGGACACTGGTAAACTGGAGAGCGTCCAGAGAAAGGAGACAAGAATGATGGAGGGAATCGAGACCACAGTTGAAGGAACTGGATATGTTTAGCCTAAAGTGGAGAAGATTTAGGAGAGACACGATAGCTGCCTTCGAGTGTCTGAAAGGCTGTCCCGCGGAAGATGAATTAGCCTTGCTCTGCTTGGCCCCAGAAAGAAGAATTAGGAGCATCGAGTACAAGTTGTAATGAAGCGGATTTAGGCTCAAGGGAAAAAGAAAAAAAAAAAAAGAAAATAACCAAAATCCTAAGAATTATAGTTGCTCTAAAGTAGAATGCGTGGCTGGGGGAGTGGGTGGACTCCCTTTATTGGAACTCTCCAACCAGAAACTAGACCACACGGTGTGTGGGGGGGTGAATCTTGGGCAGCTACAGGTTGGAAGGAGATGGCTTCTGAGGTCCCTCCGGTTCTGAGATGTTCTAGCCCTTTAGTGTGGGTGAAATCTAAAGCTGCTGGAATTCACATTATCTCTGAAGGATATCTCTGGTAAACAGAATTTTATAGGATTTCTCATCTGTAAAATGGGGACAATAATAATAACTACCTCGCAGGATTGTTGTGAGGATCAAATGAATTATATAATATATATTTGCACTTTGCAAACCTTAAAACACCTTATTATTGTTATTATTATTATTTATTGTTATTTTTACGTATTATTATGGTTGTTTTTTAAAGTTAAAAGAGAGCTTAGAAATCATTTAGGGTAACCCCCTAATTTTAGAGATGAGTGAAATAGAGTCCCTTTGTCCTGTTCTTGGCCCTGGGAGCCTCTCTGTGACTTTGACAGGTAATCTTCAGTCTAGTTAAAGAGTAACTTGTGTGTTATTCTTTTTTTCTTTTCTTTTCTTTTTTCTAAATTCCGAACTTAACTAATACCAAAGGAGATGATAATTTCTATGTGCAAATGAGAACAGGAGGACAGCATATGAAGTCCTAAACATGTATTTAAACAGCTTGCATTTCTCTTAAAGCATAGGATACATTCAACATGTATCTCCAAAGTTGTCTTGCTTGTCTGTTTCCTACTGACCTTCTATTCTCATCTATGCATTTTATATATGCTTCAATGATCCTATTTTCTCATTAAAAAATTTTTTGGTAACCCCATCACTAGTCCCTATCTTCTTTCCAGCTAAGATCCCCACCTCCAACTGAAAAATAAATGAAAAAAAAAACCCTGAAGGGTGGCTTGTGGATACAATCAACAAGTTCTGCTTTTCTTCCTCTACAATATTTCTTAAATCATCTTGTTTCTATTCCCACTGCCACTACCTTAGTTTCAGCCTTCATTAGGGCTTGCCTGGGCTATTTCAATTGACTGCTAATCAGATCTGGTCTCCTTGCCACCTGTCTCTTTCTTGCACACACATCTTTTACACCAAGTCTTTCCCTTCCCTCTTTTTCCTATTTTCCCTTTATATAGCTTGTTTGTATGTAGTTGTTTGCTTGTTTCTCTCCTGCATAGATTATGAACTCTAGGAGGGCAGGTACTGTCTTTTCCTTCTTTTTCTAACCCCAGAACCTAGCACAGAACCTGACACACAGTAGGCACTTACTAAATGATTTACCTATGGGTTAACACACAGATATTCCTACAGAATAGTTCCAATTATGTTACTTTTCTGCTCTCAATCCTGCAATGGTTCCCTATTGCCTACCAAACGAATTCCAAACCCCTTTGCCAAACAATCACGATCCATCCAAATTTGCTTCCTAGCAACTTTTGCTACCTTATCTCCCTCATTCTCCTATAGAGAATCATACAAAATTAGAGGTGGAAGGGGCTTCAGAGGTCATCTAATCTAGCACATATATGAAACAGGAATCACTTCTCCGACATCTCTAATAAAGGTTCTTCCAGACTCCTCTTGAAGACCCCACTGATGGGGACCTTAGTATCTCCCAAGGCCACATACTCAACTCTTTAATTCAACTCTCATTATTAGACAATTTTTCCTTATTTCTAGCATAAATCTTGGTCTCTGCAACATGCACTCGTTGGTCCTATTTCTGCCCCAAATTAAGTCTGATTCCTCTTCAATATGACAACTCTTCAGATATCTGAAGACTGTTACTATGTCACCTCAGAGTCCTTTCTTCTCCAGGTTAAATATCCCTAATTCCTTCAAATGATCCTCCTATGATATAATTTCAAGCGTCAACATTCTGACCATCCTCCTCCAGATTCAGCATCATAGTACTTAGAAGGGACTTGAGGCAGCCTAAGGTCTGCCTAAAATGTGGCACCAATAACTGATTACAATACTCCAGAGCAGAGTACAGGGAAACTATCACTCCCATTGTTCTAAATATTCTACCTCTTTTAATATAGTCTACAACACTATTAACCTTTTGGGAAACTAATCACTCATATCGAGTTTGCAGTTCACTAAAACATTCAAGTCCTTTCTACGTGAACTCTGGTTTACCCATACCTTCCCTATCTTTTTCTTCTGGGATTCATTTTGTGAATCCATATATAGGACTTTACATTTACCCTTATTATATTTCATCTTATTCAACCCAACCTATTATTTCTTTCTGTCAAGATCTTTTTAGATCTAAATTTTGTTATCCTGCTCTCTGTCATCTGCACATTTGATGAGCATGCAGAGTAACTGGTAAAAAAAAATATGTTGAACAAAACAGGGCTAAGGGCAGAGTCATATGGCCCTCCATGGGGGGAGTGTCGTAGAGAGGCAGATGGCTACAGAGCTTTCTTCAGCTTTACATAAATCCATTAATCAGCACTCTTTGGGTCCAGTCAGTCAACCTGTTCTAAATTCACCCAACTGTACCACCTTCCAGCTGACGTCTGTCCATCTTGCCAGCCAGTATATTGTGAAATACTTTGTTAAATGCCTTTCTGAAATCGAGGCATACTATGTAGATACAAACTGGCAAATTGTATTCACCTGATTGACCAATCTCCCAATTTTTGTTTTGTTTTGTTTTTTAGGTAATGAGGCTTACCTGGCATGATTGTTGTTTTTTTAAGGGAAATACAGAGTTTCCATTAATATAGGGAAATATAGAGTCTCCCAGAAAGGAGACTCCCTCTATCAATGCAGATAAGCACCAACTCTGCAAATTTTAGTTTAAGAGTTGCCTGGCGTGCAGAGAGAGAAATGATTGGCTTACCATCTCGCAGCCAGTGTATTCCAGAAGCAGGTCTTGAACCCAGGCCTTCTCCACTCTAAGGCTCTCTCTCCATTATGTCTAGCAATGCCTCTTGCTTAATGAAACCATGCTGCTGCTGCTGCTGCTGTGTGTGTGTGTGTGTGTGTGTGTGTGTGTGTGTGTGTGTAAGAGAGAGAGAGAGAGAGAGAGAGAGAGAGAGAGAGAGAGAGAGAGAGAGAGAGAGAGAGAGAGAGATAGCATCAATTCTTCTTCCAAGTGCTTGCAAACCATTACTTTGAAATGCATTCTAGAATTTTGCCAGGAATCAAAGTCAAGTCACTGGGCTATAATTTGAAGAATCAACTTTTTTCTCCTTTTTAAGATGAGGCCAACACTTACGTATTTCCAGTGTGGTGGGATTCCTCCTGCTCACAATTGTCCGAAGATTGTTAATAATGCTTCAGTTATCCCATATGCCAGTTCTTTCATTATCTTTGGACAATAGTTGATCTGGGCCTGGTAAATGGAACAGATTGAGGGCAGTATGGTTCAATTTGATTCTCTGCCCACTTTTTTGGGAATTTCATTGGCCTATTAGTCATTTTCGTTTTCTTCCCCATTCTGAAGACCATTTTCTTTGGTAGAGAAAACAATCAGATTCCTATGATCTATTGCCATCACCCCATCTATCCCAAAGTGGTGGTAGGCCCTATCTTCCTCTTCTATTTCTCTTGGTGATCTCATTGGGTTCCATGTGTTCAATGACTACCTCTCTGCAGATGACCCCTGATTTTGTATCTAGCTCTAATCTCTCTCTTGAACTCCAGTTTCACATTATCAGCTACCTACTGGACATTACCTGAGTCATTGGATCACAGAATTTAAGAGTTAGAAGGGACCTCAGTGTCTGTCTTAAACCAATCTATACAGGGAAGGAATCCATAATTAAGTAGCACAGTGAGTAGATAGAGAAGTGGGCCTGGAATCAGAAAGACTTGAATTAAAATCCTGCCTCAGACACTGACCAGCTGTGCAAGTTGCTTAACCTCTATCTGCCTCAGTTTCCTCAACTGTAAAATGGGGAACATAACAGCACCTACCTCACAGGGTTATTGTGAATATCAATAGTGCTTGGCACATAGTAGGAGCTTAATAAATGCTTGTTCTCTACCTTTGATCCTCTCCCAAAACTAAAGCATAGATGACAAGGGGTTGAAACTATAACATGGCTGACAAGGAAGGCATTGTCCAATCTCAGCTCTTAGGCTTCCCAAGAGGGGAAACCCCCAGCCCCTCAAGGCAGGCTATTTCACTATTGGACAGCTCTAACCGACAGGAAGTTTGATTAAATTTCCCTTTTTGCAGTTTCTACTCATTGCTCCCATTTCTGCCCTCTGGAACCACATAGAACAAGCCAAATGCTTTCTCCTTATGATAGCCTTTCAAATACTTGAAGGCAGCTATCATGTTGTCTCTGAGTCTTCCCTTCTCAATGTCCAGTTCCTTCAACTGATCCTTACATGACATGACCCTCCAGCATACTAAACTCAGCATGTACAAGATAGAATCTATTATGGTTATATTTGTCCCAAATATTTATTTATACCATATTTACTATTATAATAAATACATTATATAAATATATTTACATTTGACCATTATATTTATTCCCAAACCCCTCCCTCTTCTAAACTTTCCTTTTTAATGAGGACACTAACATCTTTCTAGTCTCCCAGGTTCATAACCTCTCAATAATTATTGTCTCTTCCATCTCCTTTATCCCCCACATCCAATAAGTTACAAGACAAAGTCTTGTCAATTCTTCTTCCACAACACCTCTCATGTTTTTTCCCTTCTCTCCACTCACACAACCACTGTCTTGGTTCATGTCCTCATCACCCCTTGCCTATACTATTGCGATAACTTTCCAACAGGTGTCCCCTACTTCTAGTCTCTGCCCTTTCTAATATACACCACATAGGCTGTCAAATGACACTTTGAAAAAACAGATCTGACCATCTGATCACTTCCTTACTTAAAATGTTCGATGGTCTCCTCTTACCTCTAGGATGAAATATAAAATTCTCAGCTTGTTGTTTAAAGACCTCCACAGTCTGGCTTCAGCCTACCTTTCCCATTGTTTGTTATATTTCTCCTCTTTATACCCTCTCCTTTCTGGAAAAACTGGCTACTACCTGTTCTCTGGATACTCTATTTCATTCTGGCCTCCACGTTTTTGCACAGGTGGGCCCCCATGTCTGGAATATACTTGTTAACAGGAGGCTGGTGAGAAGGTATCAGTGAGTGTGGCTGGTACAGCCTCCTCTGGGAAGCTGGTTTCTAGTGAGCTGTGATGACATGTAATAAGTGCCTTGGAAAGATTTGGAGCATGTGCAGAATTCTATAACTGGTTCCACACTGCTAACCATGTGCTGTGGAGATACTCTGTTGGCTGCATGGACAGATCTCCATTCATTCAAAGGGCACTGGTCCACTGGAGCCTCTTCCTTCTTGATCTGACTCTAGAGACAATACTGAAAGGAAAGAGGTTGGAACACAGTTGGTATCTGAGACAGCAGAAATGCTGCATTTGGATGGGGACTTGGTGGGACCAATGCTATGGAGATATGGAATTCAGCTGGTTCCCACTCTCCCCAGGGACCAAAGTGATATAGAGGAGAGTGTACTCCCCCAGGTATTGGTGGAAAATGCTTGTCTTTCTGTTCTTGCTTAGTCTTTTAAGTAAATATCCATTTGTAGAAAGTAATTGATGTTAACTGGTTAAATGGAACTAAGGTATTTGAGTCACTGGTACCTAAAAGTAGGAGGAACATATTGGAATGGGAACTCAAAATGATAGTAGAGAAAGACCCTCAAGGATACCCCTAGAACTCTGAGGGGGAGATGTAGCTGGCCTTGCTCTGAAAGAGTGAAGCCAGAGCAATTGCTACACACTCCATTCTCAACTTCACCTGGTAGCCAGTCAGTCAATACACATTTTTTAAGCGCTTACTATGTGTCAATAATTGCACTAAGTGCCAGGTATACCAAGAAGGGCAAAAACATTGACCCTGTCCTTATGGGGCTCCCATTCAAATGGGAAAGAGTAGAGGAAAGATAATCTGAGATGGGAAGGAAAGAGCTGCAGAGGATGAAGGGAGATCAGGGGGACCAGGAAAGGCTTCCTGTACAAGGTGGGATTTGAGCTAAATCTTGGAGGAAGCCAGAGAAGTTAAGCAGAGGAAATGAGGAGGGAAAGATTCCAAGCATGGAGGAAGGTGCAGAGTTGGGTGTGGTGCGAGAGGAATAGCAAGAAGGAGAGTGTAGCTGGACCATAGAATCCTAGAGGGATTATAAAGTCTAAGAAGATTGGAAGTTTCCTTCAAAGCATGGTTCGGGTGCCTCCTCCTACACAAGGCTCCATCTGTTGGTGACCTCTCTTACTTGAAATCACTTTTTATCACTAGCTACATTTTGTTTTTACTTAACTATGTACAAATTGTGTCGCTGTGGTAGAACATAAACTTCTTGAGAATAGGGACTGTCTTGTTTTTGTCTTTTTTACATTAGGGTTTAAAAATTGTTTGTTCAGGGGCAGCTAGGTGGCACAGTGGATAGAGCATCTGCCCTGAAGTCAGGAGGACCTGAGTTCAAATCCGACCTTAGACCAAACACTTGACACTTACTAGCTGTGTGACCCTGGGCAAGTCACTTAACCCCAGTTGCTTAAAAATGAAAAAAAGAAAAGATAAAAATTGTTTGTTCATGTGCTTCAAAGGCTATAAAACTGTATACCTTTGACCCAGTAATATCACCAGTAGGGCTGTATCCCAAAGAGATCAAAGGAAAAGGATCTAAATGTACAAAAATATCTATAGCATCTCTTTTTGTAAATTGAGGGGATGCTCATCAATTGGGGAATGGCCAAACAAATTGTAGTGCATGATTGTGATAGAATACTATTATGTTATAAGAATTGACAAAGGGGATAGTTTCAGAGAAACCTGGAAAGACTTACATGAACTGATGCAGAGTGAAGTGAGCAGAACCAGGACAACATTGTACACAGTAATAGCAATATTGTAATGATTATTAACTGTGAAGGATTTAGTATTCTCAGCAATACTGTGATCCATGACAATTCTTTTTTTCTGTGAGGCAGAGGTAAGTGACTTGTCTAGTGTCACACTGCTAGTAAGTATCATGTATCTGAGGCTGGATTTGAACTCTGGTCCTCCTGATACCAGGGCTGGTGCTCTAACCACTGCACCACCTAGCCATCCCATCCATGACAATTCTAAAGGACTCATGATGAAAAATGCTATCCATCTCCAGAGAAATAACTGATGAATTCTGAATGCCGATTAAGATGTACTTTTATTTGTTTTGCTTTTTTTGGGCAACACAGCTAATATAGAAGTATCTTTTGCATGCCTTCCCATGTGTAATGGGTACCATATTGCTTGCCCTCTCAATGAGTGGGAGATTGGCTGGAGGAAAGGAGAGAATTTGGAAATAAATTTTTTTAAATGAATGTTCTAAACAAACAAACAAACAAATAAATAAATACTGTTTGTTTAATTGAATTGAATTGATGAGTTCAGTTACAATGTGTTCTTTCCAGTAGTTATTAGCCTGGGGTCCACGAACTTGTTTGAAAATATTTTGACAACTATATATAATTGCTTTACTTAGTAATCCTATGTATTATATTTTGTCCATTTAAAAATGTTATTCTGAGGAGACCTTAGGCTTCTCCAGGCTGCCATAGGGGCCCATGATTCAAAAAAGGTTAAGATCCTTTTTGTCCCTCATGCTAATCATTTGTGTCTGTATCTTGAGAGCTTCCTGCCCTACTTTATCTCACTTTGTAGACTCTTCAGCTATGAGATCCTATTTCTTTCTCTGAGCTCCCTAAAATAGACTCTTAAAAACTCTAGGGTACTTGTCAGATTATGACTGGCCATCTCCTTCTGGTCAGTCACAAACTCTAATCTAGCATGATTATTTCCTCTCCAGGTTGCTATCATGTCACATATGAAACCAGTCCTGCCTTATCAATCAAAAACTTGGTCCGCAGTAGCAGTTTTCCTCATTACTCCTATCTTTTGAAGGATGAACTTATCAGCAAGTCAAGTCAAGAATTAATCAGCAACTCTGTTTTTAGGAAAGAGATGTTTCTCCCCCAGGAGATGTCTGGATAGTTGACATTCCACATCATAACTAAATCTGCCTCTAAGTCAGCTTTGTGATCTGCTTCTATGATTCATCATCTACTTTCTACTTCTGGTCAGGCTTTCTCGAATGTGCTTATACTACAATATCACTTTTGTTTATCCCTCCTTTGATCCTTATCCCAGTATTCCCCATGTTAATTAATTCCTCAGGTTTCCGTATTTCTACAGAGAAGTGATTGTGTCTCTACAGGTTTTTATAATCTTTTCCTTTTGAATGGGGCGTATACATCTCCCATTATGAGTCACATCCTACAAAGTCTCAGTCTCAGTGAGGAAAAG